TAAAGAACTGAAGTTTCTCTCGTCGTTCTTTTTAGATTTTCATGAAAATTGCATATCACGATTGAGATTTGAGAAATTAAATACTATTTTTACTTTTTAAAGTTATCTAATGTTATTTAATGTTAGTCTTAACAATAATGTTATTTTTTCTGTTAACTTTACTTTTCATAAATATAAATAATTATAAATAATTATAAATAATATCTTAAGAAATATTAAAAGTATGCTTAGGTTAGTCGGTGACATTACACATGTACACAGAAATATTTAAAAGCGATTTTTCGTTAATTATATGATTCGCAGTTTATAACGGTCGAGGACAGCATGAGCGACGACGTATTTGAAATGGAAGATGATCGCTCTTCTACTGTCACAAATGTCGTTTCCGGAGGCCTTACGCCCGCAACCAGGCAACGACCCCTCGAGAAGACACCCTCACCTACCGGATACCGCGATTATAAGCCACCTGCCGAAGTGCTCGGTAATAACTACAGCACGACTTTCAAGACAACGAGCGATTTCGACAACGTGAGAAGCGCCTTGAAGAGGGACCAAGAAAAAGAAGATAATTTCGCGCACAAGGTACGTCGCTTATCATTAGCCCGAACCTTTAAAGAGATATAGTGTAATCTCATTTATCCAAAAAAAAATCACTCTTGCCCATAAACATATTTAAAAAAATGACCCCGTTTTTTTATGAAGATTCACCATTTTCGTGGTAAAAAAACAAATTGTTAATTTCAAGTTGATGCCGAATTCGCATGTAATTCGGCAGCAAAGTATGCACGAGTCGCAAAATCGACTCGTCGTCGGTCGGTAGATCATCACGCTTCCGAAATGCAATGGGATTAACCTTGCCTTTTGTGCCAAGGACAAGCCGGCCTCCTCTCCCTCAGCAAACCCGTGGAATAATGATCGTGAATGCCAGAGGTCCGATGGTAGCCGTGGTACGGCCCCCGAGACGATTCTCTCGAGTCTTTCATTTCTCTTCGTTCTCTTCTCCGCTCCTCGCGTCTCGCTTCCTCCCTCTCGCGCCATCCATTCTCTTCCGTCTTTTTCTTTTCTTCGTCATGTCCTTCTTCTTTCCTTATTCGTGAGTGCGTCACGAACTTCCAGCTCGTCGTAAGATTCCTCTGTCTTCACCGCCTTCTTATCTGCTTCTTCGCCGTCTTCATTCGCATCCGGCGAAATATGACTCGTGGATAAATCTACGCGTGTTAGATAATACCCGTAGCATTTTAAATTTCAACTTGTCAGGTGTGATAGTCTAGTCGGACAAAATCATTTTTCTTAACCGTATATATAATACATTCCTCACCTAATCATTCTTACTCTTCTTTGAAAATCACTTTTGGATGTGTCAAAAAATCTAACTTTTTCGCTTAATTTTTATATACGAAAAATATGAACGTTATTACTTTAGCGGAAAATAAAATCGTATATATGCAAGCGTAATAACTACACGGTAACAAGAAAATATATTATCGATGTATGAGATAACAAAAAGAGAGAAGACCAAAGTAAGGACAAAGTATATTTTTAATCATTATAATAGCAAAATCTTGATTATTCTGATATTCTGATATAAAAAATAGTCCAAGATGTCTATAATTAATATATTTTAACGATAGTACTTTCAGATCGGATAATTTAGAACCGTGATAATTTTTATCGATAATGGATAATTACATTGCGATATGATTTATTATTGTTCGCGTGACGAATATTTAATACGAATACACGTTGTCGTTACAAACTAAAATTCATCGGAGCTGAATTCCTGATCGGTACCTTCAACCCAGATCAGTCGGGAGCGATAACACTTGGCGCGATAGGCGCTAAATATAGGACGCAATCGGGGCCCCCATTGCACTTTTCCGCGCGTGACATTTAATTTTACGTCCGAGCCGTATGCGCGACTCAGCGCGCAATAAAGTAGAACTCAGAAGCCATCGAACATTTTTTTTGGTCGCCCCGCTGCAATTAAGAAGAGGGTTCTCTCTCGTGACTACTCAACGTGGGACGGAAGAACGAAGGGAAGGGGCCAGAGAGGGGCTGAATAAGCTACTACACAGGGGGACCAAGTAAAACCGGTAGGGGGTCTACCATCTCTCGAGCCGGTTCTTGCCTTGCACTTTCTTCGGCCGTCTGGGCACCTCGTCAGTACTCACTTCGTACCGCCTATAAAGGATAATTGAAGACCCCAGCGCAGCAACCAGCTTGATTTTTACAGATTTTCTCTCCGGAAAGGGGAAGATAAATATCGAATTAAGGGGAGAGAAGTCCGTGTAGTCTTTCCCCCTTTTTCCCACCTACGTTCATTTCATTCTTGTTGTTTTGCGTTCAATGGCCTCGATTATGCTCGGTCTTCGATCTTTTCGCAAGTTGTAATAAATTTGATAGACATTCAGTGATAATCTCGCATATATTCCATATTTTTTTTTTTTTGTACTATTCGAAAATGCGAACAATGAGACTTCTGGTCTTCAGAAGAGTCGGTGAGTCGGTGATTGATTTTCAGAAACTCGCGGACGCTGGGTCGCGGAGAGGGGTGTGGGAATTTTTTCTCTTCTTTCGCGGTCATAGCACGCACACTCGATCGATTGAAACTCGGCTAGACAACGCACCGCACACTGACCTCAACGGCGATCGTGCATCTGGCGGGCTCGTGCAGTCGCATACCAATTGAGTTAGCGGCCGTGTGGTAATGCAGAAAGACGGCGGGAGGACGAAACGGCGAGACCAACGGCATGTACACGTAGACATCGAGACATTCCGCGGGGTGAGCTATCTCGCCGTGCTTTACCCTTTCCAGCTTTATCCTCGATCCGCGTACGTATCGATGGCGCGAGTGAATTACAAAACCGTCAGCTTTTCAAGCCGTATTGCATAATAATTTTTTTTTCCGAAAATAGAATCGTAAAAGTTTCAAATTTTATTTAAATTTATCCAGAATACGAAATTAATTTTGTCTTCATTTATTGCAACGATGTATTTAATCAATTTTTGCAGCAAAACTGACGTAAAAAAATTTTAATTCGCAAAAAATTTTATGGTAATTACAATATTTTTTTTAAATAATGCTGTTAATACACATCGTTGAAACACACGACATAACGATGATAAAAAAGGGAGATAAAACTGCTATGTTGGCAAGCGGCCGCATCCATTATGGGAAATTGCGACATCCTTCGCGGTTTTGCGACGATAAAGATGCGGGATCTTTCCACGTACCGAACCGCGTTCGTTTCCGCGTTCATCCCGCGTTCATCTCGTGTCAGTCATGATGATCGTGTGCCGTCTCCGGAAACGATGCGACGGATTTCTCGATAAGAGGACTCACGCTCATAGATATGCAACCGCGATTATGGTAATTCAGAGACGATAACCTCAGCGATAAGATGTTAAACTTCCTGCGGATATCATTTGATTCATGCCGAGATCGTTAGAATGTTCATCGGAAAATTTTCCTAGATATTGATCGATGATATCAACGAAGCGTATGTTTCTTGTTGAAGAATAATAGATGACTTCTCGGCTAAAAATCACAAGACACGAGAAACGTAAGCAATAAACGCGCGAATCTACCAATTACAGTCACATTTGTTCTTATAAGAATAGGAGATCGAATCGAATGAGAAATGCTTAATAACGTTTCGTTTAAGATCTGTTTATATTTTTTGTACTTTAGTTTTTAACTCTAACTCTTGCATGTTGTCCAATAAATTTTAGAAAAGCTCAAATGACAGAAGAATGACTGACAATTTTAATTGAGTATTGTTGATAAGTAGTTTTAACATTTCTCTAAAAATTATATAAAAGATAAAAATTTTAATCACAGATATCAAGAAAATGTTCTAAATAAATGTCCTGTAAAGTTTTCAAAATTTCTTTTTACACTTATAATAATTAGTAGATAATTTAGATAAGATTCCTTAAGTTGAGTAAACTCTTTAAAACAGTACAGTAACGATATATTTTTACAATAGATATTTCCTGTAGCTTCAACGAATAAAGAAATGATAAATTTCCATTTTTTCTCCATCTTACCGACTCGTGAAAAATAAATATCTCTTTCATTCGCAACCTCGTCTAGTTCAAAGAGAGAATAAATTGACTTTTTAATAGCGCGCGAATGTTTAATGTAATTCTAAAACTTTGTAAATAATCTCTCTCTCTCTCTCTCTCTCTCTCTCTCTCTCTTATAGCATTTCTTAATGGCATTGAGTTTGTCTCACTTGCAAAAGACGTGCGCGACGATACTCTCGATCGGAGTTGAGTTCATTTTGTGCTTGGTTGATTCAATCCCGTTTAGTAATAATCTAACCACCCGCAGCTGTTGCATCGTGGAGCAACGAGTCTCCATTAAACAAGCGGTCGCCGCTCGACGACCGCGACGGTGCAGCTCGAGCTATTTTTATCGCACTCCGCGTTGTCTACTCGTGAGATTTCATGACGACGAAAGAGGAAGAGGAAAGAAACTTGCGCCGCCAGCATCTGGTACTGTTACGCGTGAGGTGCTATAAGTGTAATATTTGAAGAAGTGAAATAAAACGGGAAATTGTCTTCTTACTTTATTACGGCGACGATACTTGGAAAGATTTACATTGCAAACAGTAGGGGAAAGAAGAGTAAAAATACGGTTTTAAATTCACGAAATTGACAAGTTTTTTAATTCTGTAATGACGTAAAAATAATGATCCATCTTTTTTAGATTTTTTTTATTAAAGTCTTACTTACTTATAGTACATAAAAGAATTTTTGAAGAATATTAGATTTTCTGAAAATTTTTATTTTTTGAAGATGCACATTTTCTCATCACGCACATTAAGAATGATTTCACTATCTTACCCTTATTATATGATTAAAATAACTCTATCGTACGATTTTGTTCTCTAGGATAAAAAATAAGACCGAGAAGAAGGAAATTTGCTGATGGTTTCAAGAAATAGAAAAAAATCGTAGAAAGTGCTAGACCCAATCTTAGAAAAAAGATTTAGAAATCTTTTTCATCAAATCCAAAAAAATCGCGATAATACGCTAATACATACAATCTAAAGGGACGGTATTTTGATGAGAATCGGCATGACGGCAAGTTTCATTTCTTTCAAATTTAGCGAATTTTTTAATGCTTTCTCGAAGGTGTCGCGATAAATTAATATTCTTTGACTTGTGTCATTTACGAAAAACAAATGATAAATACTGTAAGTACTGTAAAACTTAAAGCTTACGTTGCGTGTATACGTGCGTACGTGCAGCGATGCGTACCCCGTTGCCTTTCGTCGCATCGTCGCCGAGCGTCATCGAGCGCACACGCACGTGCACTCGCAAATGGTTCGATTCATTGCGGCGTACTCTGAAACTGATCATGTAGCTCGTATTCGTAATCACAAAATACCATTGAGGTTTTAATAGCGTAACCGAGCACCAGCGCGAGCTTGTATCGGATAACCGCGCGCGGAACCACTTTGACAACGAACGCCACGTGATCGATCAAATTTTCATGTACGTATCAACATGCTTGCTTCTTTCTTCTCCTGACGTTAATTTATTTGGACATTTAGAACTCCTAGAACTCGTAGAATTTTGCAAATTGTGCAAATTTTATGATTTTTGTAAAAAGAAAAATGTTTTTGGAAAAATCATCTGTGAAAAGAATGTCAATCACATATATAATAAATGTCTAGAAAACTGAATACAACCAACGTGGGTCGTTTTGCACCCAGAGGATAGGAAAATGATCAGACATGATTTTATTAATAAGTTAATATCTGAAGCTTCTACTAAGATTTGTCGCAATCGATTGATCCATTTATTTTAATTTGAAAATCATGAAAATCATCATCATGCGACTTTTCGAAAAATTATAAGAAAAATGCGTATCATATACCTCGAGCGGTTCATATTCGTGCTTATCCATTTTATCGTTGCACGAATCGTTATTTCTTCTGTTTCCGCACATTTCTCTTCTTTTGCTCAATGATTAACATACGAATGTATACGACCTTGTCGCACCATTCATCGCGGCCATCGTGGCACACGAAAAGCTTCATTGTCGACGCTGTGTCTATACAATCTGCGGATATGCGGAAAATGTGGACAATTCGAATTTTTTAAAGATTTCAGAATCGAGTATGGAAAAAAGACGGTAACAAAAACTATACGTGGCATTATTTAGTTTGAAAAAAAAAACATTTTGCTGAACAAAAGTTATTTCTAATGGTATTTTCGTTATTTGCTTAATTAATATTAATACAATAATCATTTTAAATAAATGCTAGTATTTTTCTTACAATTTTTTAAACATATTTTTTATACGTATTTTCTCTTTGCTTCTTGCTTGAATTTCTTCGTAAATATTTTATTTTTCGTGTATAATATCGAATAATCTTCTGAATCTATTTGACTGTTTACTATGTATTTTCTTTCATGGAAGGTTTTGTGCAATCAGAATACGAAACATAAAATCATCCTCCAACTGGAATTCCCGCATTCCGTGTTACCTCCCTTTGTTTCATCGCGCGCATCTTGCGTTCTCTAAATTTCCATCGTAAGCATTTCACGGCGGGGTTTCCGGTCGTCGAGCAAACAGTGCCTGTGCAATCTTGCCGATAAACTTTTTTCTTTCGATAAATCCCTCTATTTATCGGTAAAGAACATTTTTTGTCCCACACGGCTTGCGCAAACGGCACGTGAATTTTCCCGTAAAATATGAAACGTTGAAATATAAAAATATGTGGGACGATCACCTTTTTTTCCTCTTTTTGCAAATTTATTTGCTCATTTAGCGTTCACGTTCTTCAAAAGAGTAGTGCTTATCGAGCACCGGCTGCGTGTATATGACGCCTCTTTCGCACGTCGTGGCACGCACGTTTGTTTTTTCTTTCTCATTTTTTTACAGACACGAGCTTCGAGTGCGTTGCCGTTAAATGCACGTGTAACGCGATATGTCATGCGTTCTCGAAACGCATGCCGTACCGCGATATATGTTGTGTACACGCACATACGCATATACGCGTATACGCACGCGTCACGCTCGCGTGCGAACGTATCATATAAATCGTAATGCGACCTATATGTGATACCATGATGTATTACGACATAGGCTTGTTAGGAAACTCCTTTTCGTTTGGAAAATTTTTGCAAAAAAACCGACATTGCGTTTTCAAAAGAATAATGATTCTTTGTTTTAAAGTTCTATGAAATTATACACTTATCATTATCTTTTATACCTTTTCATATAGCGACTTTATAAAAAATCTTGGGAGTTACGATTATGTATGTAATTAAATTTTTTTCAATAGCGATGTTTTCGAGACAGTGTTTTTTTTTTTTTTATCGAATGAATAACGCGATACCACGAAGAGTGCGCGAGTGCGTTTATGACAAAATGTCCGGTTAAGGGACGTCCTTCTCTCGAATACCGCGCAGGAAGGACTCGTTCGACAGGATCCGAGTACTATCGGCGATCGCGACGGTCTGCGAATCCCGCAACATCTCGTTCGTAAATCTTTACGGCTTGTCTTCACGGTACGTCGGTTTTACGATCGCACTTTTATGACGGCTCCGTAACCGATCACGTATCCAGCTTTACACTTCCGTCGCGGTTATGAGTCGTTTCGAGATATACTCGATTAAGAAGGGTTTGCAGATATTATTAATAATAGACAGCCGCGTGCTCTCGCCGGAAAGCCCTACAGGTTTCAAGCGGATTAGCTGACGATTATGCCAATTATAACTTACTTTAATTATATACCATGTATAATCCGTGTTTCGTATGAAATCGCGAGTTAAGGATTAATCCAATTTTTATGGCGATATAAATGATTATATTACAAGTGAGACTACAAAAGAGATGGAAAATCTTTGATTGAATTAATTTCGACTTTGCATTCTAATGATGCGATGTAGAGAAATTTTTATTATAATGGGCACGAGAAAGATATAATTATGTATTTGCGTATTCCGAAAAGCATAGTCATAAATCGCTGATGATTGATGAGATGCGAAGAAACAATGATCTCAATTGATTGCATGAAATCGTTAATCGACGGTGTTCCGTAGTAGCTGTGAGAAACGTATCGTTGCAAGAAGTGACCGACTTTATGACCGTCGATAAATTCTCCGTCACCGATAAAAGATAGATGAAGTCGATTTGATCTCGTATCCTTGTACCTAGAAGAGTTAAAATTTACATAGCTTCAATTAGTAATAAAATGTTTCAAAATTATCGAATTTGTAATAATATTGTAAGAGTCTGATATCCTATTCGTCAGCCTTTGCGCAATGTTACAGGTTTACATTTTATTTCAAAAATTTGTTTGATAAGACAGAAATAATCATCCGACTATTTAACTCGCGGTGTATAACAGCTTTTGGAAAGCGTTTTCACGCAATATAATGATCGCACAACGAAATCCTCTTCGGCACGCAGCGAGCTTTTAATGTTCGTTCACCCCCATGGTTATCAACAATTAATTGGAAACGCGCGCGGTAATGGCACAATCGTCCATAAAGAAACAACGGGATTCCGCCGAGAAGAGAATGGGGAGAACATAGATCACACAATGAGAATGAGCGTGTGTGTGTGAGAGAGAGAGAGAGAGAGAGAGAGAGAGAGAGAGAGAGAGAGAGAGAGAGAGAGAGAGAGAGAGAGAGAGAGAGAGAGAGAGAGAGAGAGAGAGAGAGAGAGAGAGAGAGAGAGAGAGAGAGAGAGAAAGAGAGACGGGCAGAGGGCATGAATTAAGTTTCCCCCGCCCCTGAAGCCGACACATTCGTCGATACTCGTCACGACCACCCCCTGGGGGTCCCGCGAATCTTTCAATGGAATTTCTGTCGCGAAGGGGATGCCACGCCGCCTCGAGGCGCCTGAGGATTATAAATCCAGGCATCTAAAAGTGACACGGAGGATTTAGGATCCCAAATGCCTGGATTTATCTTCTTAGCGTCTATTGATGTATATTCTGTTTCACGCATTTTGCTGACTTTTCGTTCGTTATTTTTCATTCGTACGTGGCCACGCGCACTTCGCACCTTTCCACCAACCGCGTCCTTCGAAAAAAGTTTTTGATTTCCGATAAGACGAGAGATGAAAAAAAGTTTTTTCTACGGCAACGGGAAATTGAACATCAAGATTATGTCATTTTACTTTTCGTTTTTGTAAAATAATCGCGATTTTATGAGTAATTAATTTAATCTCTTTTCTCTTTTACACACGCGAATCTTCTGCAATTTTATAACATTAGAATATTTTAACGTATTTTATATTATCATATGTCTATATATTTCCATTTAGTTGTTCCGAGAGAATTTATGCAACGCAATAATAATGGTTCTCTGAACTTGGGGCACTGCAAGTTGTATATAAATCCGAGAGAATCATGCGAATATTAGCTTCAAAATTATATTTCCCGGCATGTCCATGAAAAAAGTACATTTATATTTCAATATGCGAGCAGTTTTTCTCCGTTTCTATCTGTTTCGCTCGCTCTTTCGCCGGTAATAAAATGGTGAATGAGGCGCAAAGATGTTAAGAACATTTGTGTTATTCAACCACTTATTGTTCACTCGCTGACGTTTTATGAGGCAAAGTCGACGATGTTGTGCCTCCACCATCAAGACAATATAAACGCATATGCCAGACTGTCGGTATACCACGGCTGTATCTACCTTATTGCAACCTTATTCTTTGTCCTGCTGTTAGCGATGGCGTTGATATTCCGGCGCGCGCGGCGTGGAACCTCGAAGCGCACGCATCAATCTTCTGCCAAAACTACTATTGTTCAATAACGATAGTGGCTCTGTGCGGAACAAGTGAGAGATCATTTCTACAAGTTTCTTTCTCCCTTATATATATTATCTGTCACAAACTTGTTATATTTATCGCTTTGCAACGCACATACGCATACGTTTTTCAACATTTTAGCCGAGATAGCGATGGAAATCGCGAGTAATGAATAAAATAAAAAAATGATAAGGATTTCACATCGTACAAAGTGAGATAAAGTAGATGAAATTTATTAAATTTCATCATAAAAAATTCGATGCTTATCGAAGCGCGAAAATTCTGCTGAACACTTCTAATTTAATGTTCACATCGAGCCCGATATCAAGTCGCGTTCTTGTTCAAACAGATCGCTGCTTGTTTTGCTATCGAGAATAATGTTGATAGTCCATTATATCGATCCGTTTAAAACAAGCGTCTCTCGATTTCAAGCTAAAGCGAATTGATATTGGGTAGAAGATGGACATTGGATGCGTTACTATGCTCGATCGCTTATCGTTGTAGTCGACTTCAACATTGCTACTGATTGCGCAAACTATCGTGTATGTTATTACGACTGATGTATTCGATACACCGTCACCACGTTGCTTCTCTTTCTCTGTTAGTTGGACTTCTATCCACTGGACAAAACAATTTCAACAAATGGGACTATGATTGCAAACGAAAAGACACGTCGGCTTGACTAGACTAGAGCTAGAAAAGCTCTGATAGCTCTTTGTAATTTCATTCGCGAGCGCTTTTAATTTTTTCTGTTTGTTCCTGCATATGCCAAAACTTGAAATGGAGATATTCACAATAATCGCGAAAAATAGGAAGCTGTGGTGTGTGTGTGTGTGTGTGTGTGTGTGTGTGTGTGTGTGCGTGTGTGTGTGTGTGTGTGTGTGTGTGTGTGTGTGTGTGTGTGTGTGTGAAAGGCCATTTTAATTGGGAAATAAATTCTTTTGAGAAAATATTTGCGAAAAATGAGAAGCGTGCGTGCGAAAGAATACTTTCGTTAAAATTGTAACAATCCAGAGTTCATTCACGTGTGTGTACTTACAGACAATCCTCCTCGGTGATAGTGGAGTCGGCAAGACTTCATTATTGGTCCAATTCGATACTGGAAGATTCCAACCGGGAAACTTCGCGGCCACCGTGGGTATCGGTTTCACAGTAAGTAATACTGCAACGAGATATTTAATTAAAGCTAACTAAAGCTTTCCAGCCCGATGAAACCATGGAATGCAATGAAGACCACCGGTATTATTTTGCCAAATTAAATTCAGTGAGAATTTTCTATCTGCATTTAATTTTCTCATTCCACTTCTTTATTCATTCTTGCAGATCTATTAGTATCATTTTTATCGACTCGTGATTTTTTTGAGGATTAATATTAATTAATATTTAATATTCATATCGAACATAAAATTACAATTATTAAAAATAATAATCCATTTTATGTAAATATGTCTTTTTGTAAAATCGATGCACGAGCTGGAAAGTGTTAGTGCGAATTTCTGTAGTTACATATTCTTTGTTTGATAGACTAATAGTTACTAACACATGTCGAACAGAATTACAATGTCATCATGCAATGACGTATCAACATTGACAATGTGAGCAACGCGTTTTATGCACGAGCCCAACGGCCATGAGACTCATTTGCATGTATTCTATGAAAGCTTTGTCTCTGTATGTTATGTATTAACTCATAAGAGAATTTTCAATCGCGCATGTCGATTTGATATCCAATAAAAAAAGAAACAAAAAAATCCTAACGCGGCAATTGATTTAGAGTTTAAAAGCTCCTAAATTTGATTATTACCTATATCTTATATAAAACCGAAATTTTTCTTACGTTTTTTACGTAAGACTAACTGCATCTGCGATAAATTCTAATTAGTATAAGAGACGACATCTTTTATGACATTGTTATCCGGATCGGACTATAAATTTCGCCTAACAGTGAGATATCATCCAACCATATTTAAATAAAGATCTCTAAGGATGAATTATTGTTATTTCGTATTCGCATATGTTTGACTTCGAGGTCGTAACTTTAAGTAAACTTAGGGTGAGCCGGCAGAGAGCAGAAGTAAACGTACACCACTTGTGAGTCCCTGCAAGTTTATATAGCTGCTGGTTGCCATTTTTATGCCCCAAATACCGACGATACGTCATTCGCTATACTCGCTATATGAGCGACTTAGTAATTTTCGCGTAGGTGAGACATTGCCGATGTCACGTTCTATACGTACTGCAAATACAGTAGGTTCTATACACGCATAATACGTTTAAAAAATGCGAGCATCATTTACCATAGCGGCGTCAAATCAATATTTATAGTATCTCTTTCGGTCTTTTCGTCTAGAAGAAATTCGATTTATAGTTTCATCGCCAATTTGAAAGAGAGAAAAAGAACAAGAGAAACATTTCGAAGCCTCGGAGCTATGATGGTACGAGGAACCATTTGCATTTGATATTTTCGCAGCCCGGCCGACGATTATCGGGGGGCACCAGCCTTGAAAAAGAATCGTTCGAGCGAGCAGGGGCCCACCCTTTTGTTCACCACTCGTTTCCCCGATCGCCCCCTCGATACGAGTTTTCACGAGTCGCCGAAAAGATGAACAGAGATGAAGAGACAAAAGGGAGAGATGGCAGGTTGGTGGGATTTACAGAGGCGTTTGTATTGAGGTTTTCAGGTGGCTGGCTACTCGCCTTTGATGAAAACGCCGGTAGAGAAAGTCTTTGTGATAAACCATGCAATTACGGGGGAGGAACGGTAACGGCCGACTTGTGAATCATCTGAGACCGAGGAATAGCTTCAGCACGACCTTGGCATTTATCAAGCGCACAAGCACGCATCTGTTGGTCAGCGGTCGATCATAATTTTTCATCGTTGACTCGATTAGCCAAAGAATTCGAGCAGCCTACGCTGTACGAACCCTACGCTGTCTTGTTTGCAGAAAGACATTTTGTGCATCGAAAGTTGTTTAAAAAAAAAAAGTAAAGGGATCTCTCGAGTGCGAAGAGAAAAAGAATTACGAAACAGTTTATAAATTTGCGCAGCCAATTTGTGGTTTCTCTCTACGTTACTTCAGAAGTTTTAACTGCGATGGAGTGCAGCATATATAGATCATGGATGTCAACTTACTGATTATAGAGCATCGAGTCGCTGCACTTTCCAGTTACGAGAACACGTTTCATACCATCTCTCTCGCGCCAACGATCGGCCATCACTTTGCTAACAGTTTTCAGAAAGTCGTCGTCGAGAAAGTTGAAATAGCTCTATCAAAACGATCGTCCCGCTGCGGATTTCTCCGGTAACGCGAGAGAGCGTCTATCTTAGACGCTCTCCCGCACATGAAAGTTTCATTTCATTATAAGCGGAGGTACGTCGTGTCGCAGACGTATACGCGCGACCTAGAGAAATTACTCGCACGATTTTCCTTCTCGAGGAAACGGTAATTAATATTTGATTGAAAAAGCTCGTATAACCGGAATTGACCATACGTCGCATTTTGTGCTGATAGAATACAGCTTCGAATTAACCCTGTGATATTAATTATGATTATACCGGAGATCTCGAAAGGAGAATCCTCTTTTCTTTTACTAGATTTTATACATTTCTATAGATTTTATACATTTTTTTCTTACAAGTAGCTTTATCTAGTTACATTTCAATTCTGTTCGAGTTTGTAAATAAACATTAGCACGAGAATGTTATGTTCATCATTAAGGTGTTACTTTAATTTAAACATTACATACTTATACGCAATAAGTTTTTAGCTTTATGTATTTCATTTCATTATGACGTACGCACGCAGGA